CTACCTCTCTTGGATTTCAAATCACTAATTTTATTTTGTCCTTTCTAGTCCTAAGATCATTCTCCTTGGAAGAGAAAACAGGAGCAAAAAAAAAAAAGAAGAAAGGAAAAAATAAAAAAAGAAGTTGAAAAACTGCCTTCTATCCAACCATCAATTATCATTATTCAATCTATCCTGACCAACACTCATATTTTCTTTGGTCCTCTTTTCTTCAAATACCTTAAAAAAGAACAAACTCTGTTTTTTTGTCCTTAGTTTTTCTTTCCAGCCTCAGTTCATCCTGAGAAGTAGCACTCCTGACACTACTATTGTAAGGCCATAGCATGCCTTCATCCATTGTTACCTGTCTTTGTTTCTATGTTTTAGATATATGTTTTTAAAATCTAAGTTGGTCAGTAAGTTCCTTGTACTGCTGCATTGGTTTCTTTAGGCTTCTCCCCCTTTTCATCAAAAATTGTTTCTTCCCTGTACCTCCAAAATTTCACTCTTGAGACTTCACATCCACTTGTGCTGGCTTCTGGAGGATTGTGGTCCATGAGATCATATCTATCCTTTTTCTGAACCATTAGAAATCTGCTCTTTCAAAATAGAGGATACAATTCAGACTACATTTAGTTTTCTTCTCCTTCTCTGTCACAAACTCCACAATGTAATGGTCACTTTCCTCAAGGTTCCTATAATATCTACTTAAGCTAGCAGTTCCTCTTTAACAGATGAGAATCAAGCTCAGAAAAGCAAATTTCCTCATTGCTTCCTCTATCTTTTGAAAAAACAATTTGCGCTTCTCTATTCTATGATTCTATTATTCTTAGGAAATTCTAATTGGTAGCCTTGTAAAAGGAAGATGAAACTATTATTCCAAATTCTAGAGTCCTAGGATACAGGAAAATTATCATTATAATAGACAGAAATGCTCACCAGTATCATTTCTCCCAGAATTCCTTGCCCCTAGCCCTTTCCATAAAAAGGTTTCTGTGGCCCCACTTCCAAGGTATGTCCACATATTAGCTCTTTGTGTGATTCTCTAAGTGGATGTTCAAAGTCCAAATACAACCAGAAAAGAATAAACCCTGATGGGAAATGCATGCAGATAATTATCAATTCCAGCCAAGGCAAAAATGTCACTGTGTCAGAGGATTCTGTCAGAGTGTTGTAATGAAGGGAGGCATGGAGTTGTGAATTTAACTTCAGGCCATCATCTTCTTCATAAGCTCTCTCAGCTAAAGTGCCCACGAAGAGCATCTTCAAATAAAGTGACACTCCTGGTAATTATTTTCAATACTTCAAAGTCAAGGTTAGCTCAACTTTTATCTTTTGGACAGAAAGAAAGAATTGGCTTCCTAAACACCACTGATTACACAGCTCCACAAAACTGATCTTTATAATTCATGGTGTGAGGCCCAAGATTAGAATTTTAACTGACACAGAGGTTTATAGAATCGGGTTAACTTAAAATTGGCATTTATATGGAAAGGTTAGTCCAGGGGAAGTGGGAAATTACTTAAGTCTCAAATTTCTCTTTAAAGCTTAATGGTGTAGACTTTTTTGTTGACTTTCTCAAACACAAGATGTCACAGTGGATAAAGTGCTAAATTTGACATAAGAAAGACCCAGGTTCAAATTCTACCTCAAGATATTAGTTGTGTGATCCTGGGCAATTCATTTAACCTCTCAACGTCTCTCAGTTTTCACCTCTATAAAATGGGGATAATAATGCTTCTAGTACTTGTCTCACAGGGTTGTTGTAAGGTCCAATCTTACTTACATAAATGTCAGTTATTACTAACCCTCCTCTGATCTAGAATACTACTTTGTATTTCTCTTATATACTAATTATATCTGATTCGCAGTATAGCAATTCATATTTTCATAAAGTGATTTAAGGTTTTTGTTCCTGTTCCATCATTTTGGTCATGTCCAACTCGCTGTGACCCCATTTGGGGTTTTCTTGGCAAAGATACTGGAGTGGTTTGCCATTTCCTTCTCCAGCTCATTTCACCGATGGGGAAACTGAGGCAAACAGGGTTAAGCGACGTGAACTTGGGAAGAAGAGACTTGCTGACTCCGGGCCCAACTCTATCCATGGGGCCACCTCGCTGCCCCCAATTTAAGGTTTATAAATCACCTTATAATTTCTGCAAGGTTATTAGATAAGATCTGGGGGCGTATATCCTTACTCCCTTTAAAGCTGAGGACTATGTTTTATTTAAACTCTGTCTCCCCCAGTACCTAGCACAGGGTTTATGGCAGCGCTCGGGACATTTTATCTAAACTCCTCATTTTACAGATGGGAAAATTGAAGGGGAAATGAAGCCGAGGGAGTTAAAATGTCTCACCCAAGGTCACATGGAGCCAAGAGGTGAACCCAGGTCCTCTGGGTTCTAATATTTTTTCCATTATACCATGCTGCCTCACAATAGAAGGTGCTTAAAAAACATTAAAATATAAGCAAACATACAAAACAACAAACCCCGAAATGGAAATTTACAACTGTTCCTGGTTGCTGGGTGGTGTTGCTAGGTGGCGCAGTGGGTGGAGAGCTAGCCTTGGAATCCCGAAGCCTTGAATTCAAATCCAGACTCAATCATTTACTAGCTGTGTGATTTCTCAGCCTTAGTACCTAGCTCACCAGGTTGTTGTGAGGATCAAAATGAGATAATACGTGTGAAGTGCTTTACAGACCTTTCAATATCTATAAATGCTAGCTGTTATTATGATATTTATTACTCTACTGCCCTCCAGTTCAGCTGATATGTTGGACGAGATAACATAGGAGGTTCCCTCTTAAATTGGAGATTCTGAGAGTCTAAAAGTGCACAAAGATTCGAAATCCTCCCAATGTTTCTTTGAGTCTGAGTAGTGCCCAAGTTCACACAGCAATGAGTGACAGACCTAGGACTTGAAACCAGGTCTTCTGAAATCTAGGCCAGCGATCTTTCCACTAGAGCATATTATATCTTACAGCAATTTGCTCATCACTAGAGGGATTCCCCAACCTCTCCCACCCCCTTGCCTTTTTCCCCTTTATTTTATTTTTCAAATAACAAGCTTTTACTTTCTCCCCCCCCCCAATTTAAAACAAAAGCAACAACCTTGCAACAAATCTGTCTAATCAAGCAAAACAAATTCCCATGTTGTCCATGTCCAAAAAAAGATTATGTCTCATTCTGCACCCTGAATCTGCCACCTCTCAGTCAGCCCACCTGTCAGGGCTGTTCCTCTTCAAAGAGGGGGTGAACTAGATGCCTTTTAAGGTCTCTTCCTGCTCCAGGATTTCTGACTTATTCAAAGATACAAAGCAAAGGCAGAGCTGGTATTCAGAACCATTCAATCACACCCAACACCTTCAGAATACAGGAGTGCACTCCAGAAGAAGACAGATATGGTGTGGATTTCAAGTTATTAGCTTGCAACCTTGGGGTAAGTCACTTTTCTGAGCCCCATTTTCTTCCCTGTAAAATTATAGGACTGGAGTAGATGATCTTTAAGATTTCTGACACCTCCAAACTCCATCCAATCCTATGAATGCTATTCTGTATCACTTTCCTACTGTAGGCCATTCTAAGACATGACTCTTCCACATCCAAATGCCATCTTGGTGTCCAGATGCTGGATGTGCGAAGGTTGGTAGACAGTATGATACATAGTAGAAAAAGGATGGGATCTGGAGACAATATGTGTCTAGATCTTGACTCTGTCACTTACTGAGTGTGTGACCTGGGGCAAGACACAGTTAACCTCTCTGGGCCTCCATCTCCTCATCTGTAAAATGAAAGCGTCGAACTCGCTGGCTTCTAAGGTCCCTTTTCAGCCCTAAATCTGTGATCCTCTGATCTAAGATGACCCACAACCAAAAAAATTGAGTAACACTGTCAGGCCATCAAGAGATTAATGTTTCAGGATGTCAAAAGATCAATAGATTTGGGACTATGTGGGATATTAGAGAGCCTTTTATTAGAGAAGTGTTTAAATAAAGGCCTAGAGAGGCGAGTGATCTGTCTTAAGCTGTAAATACCAGTACAGGATGTAAGTCCTTGCAAGTTTTCTGACTCTAAGTTTGGTTATTTCCAACTACACCACACTGTCCACAAATTGAGGAATTATGTCGGGGCTGGCTGGGTATAGGGGCATAAGCCTTGATGATTCCCACTGTCAGCAGGCAGCCAACCTCACTCCCAACCCCTTTCTGGAGTAAACCCCACAGGGTTTCTAGACATTTCAGAGGCTGACACATTCTGGAACCCTTCAAGACTATAGCTGCATAGTTACATATGCAATGACCCTGATTTGCATTACTTATCTCAACCAATCTGAACTAATTGAAGCAATCCTGCCTCATAACAGGCAAGGCAAGATGGAGGAATGTAATATTCAGAACAAGATCAGAAAACAGGAACCCCTGTCAGGCATCAACTTTCATGCCACCTTCCATAATCCACCAGAATAGAATGTGCTAGTCTCCAAATTAGCCACGGATTTCAGAAGAGTCCTACCTGCATGAACAATAGGAGAGTAGACTTTAGAGCTGAAACACATCCTCTAAAATTTAAAGGGCACTTAGAACTTAGAATGTTAAAATACAGAACATAAAATTTTTTGAACAGGAGGAGATTTTAGAATCCATAGAAAGTGGTGGTTGTAGGAGAAAGGCAACTCTTTCTTATTCAATTCTAGCTAGAACATTTGGAAAGGAAGAAGGCAGTAAATCAGGTAACTAGATTGAAGAGGCAGCTTTCTGCCATTAACAATACCCTTCATGCAAAATTGATTTATCCCCTTAAAATGAAGAGCACCCTCCAATGGTTCTCAGTTCTGTCATAGAGTTTCTAATACAGAAAGTATGGTATTACTTCAGGAGGTGTGATAAGATCAATATCTATCATTTAGGTTAGGCCTGGGGTGGGGAACCTGAGGCCACACGTGGCCCTCTAGGTCTTCAAGTGTGGCCCTTTGACTGAATTCAAACTTCACAGAACAAAAGTAGAACTAGAGGGCTAGGCTAATTTTTTTCTTAAAGGACTTAATTAGCTCAGGGGACCTTCAGGCCCTTGACATAGCTTCCTGCTGACTTCAGTACAAAAAGCTGGTGAATGGGAAGTCACTAGTTCCTCCCTCAGGCTTCTAACCAGAAGAGCAACATGGTCACCACAGAGGTAGGGAAGCCATGCTTCACTCAATCAATGTTACATGCTTGCTGAATATTCCCTTTCTCTGCTAAGGCTAAGTAAACTTTTTTGTTAACTGTTAGATGGTCTATGACTGTCTCATTCTGTTTTCTCAAACCTGGATTACCAGACCTGGCCTACTAGAGAGAGTGCTGAGGAGATTAGGAAAAAAAAAAAAAAAAGAAGGTACAAGACCTGATTAGACTGGAGTAGTTGGCAAGATTTAAGGATGCACAAGTCTTATGCTCAGTCTCTCCTCTGAGTGCTTTCTCTTCTTGGTAGGCCAAAAAGCAAGAGCTGGAGGCAAGATGTTTCCTTCAGCTCTTCTCCAGTAGCCACAGCTGGGCCCAGGACAGATATCGATTTGTGATGTAATTCCACCACATTGGCAAAAGTGCTCATGAATCTCTGCTATTACTGTTAAGAAGTATATTTTGGAATTTAGAGAAGTCATATTGATGGATTTATATTTTTATACTAAGCTAGAAATTTCTCTGAAAGTCCATACACTTGCAAGTCCGAAGAACTATATACTTCTCCTCTCCTCACGAAATTATCTGTTTACTCTGGTATTCAACCAACTAAACATCCCTTCTCAGAGATTTCAAATTACTAAATAAAAAGGGAGGACAACTGTGCCCCCACATAGCCAACCCAGAGTAGTATCCTGTGAATAGCTAATAGAGAATGAGTGCACTTTAAAGACTGGCATAGCCTTGTTGTTGCTGTTCGGTCATTTTCAGTCATGCCCAACTCCTCTTCATGATCCCATTTGGGGTTTTCCAAGCAAAGTTATTGGAGTGGTTTGCTACTTCCTTCTCTAGTTCGTTTTATAGATGAAAACACTGAGGCAAACAGGGTTAAGTGGCTTGCCCAAGGTCTCACAGCCAGGAAGTGTCTGAGGCCGGATTTAAACTCAGGAAGATGAGTCTTCCCACTGTGCCACCTAGCTGCCCTTTACATAGTAGTACCCTTTACACAGAAAAGAATGGGGAGTGTTTGTTCAAAGACATTAGCCAGACACTGAACCAGGAGTTACAAGACTTGAGTCTGAGTTCCAATTCCACTACTTTCAGTGTCACCTCAGATGGGTCTTCCTCATCTGTAAAATGAGAGAGCTGAATCGGATGACCTCCAATGTTCCTTCAGGCTCCGGCTTTATGATCTTAAGACACTCAGAGGTTCAAGAGTGAAAAAGAAAACATTACTGTTCTGGCTTTAAAAACAGGGGCTTTCTCCCATTCAGGCAGAGTCCCAGAATCATGGGATTAAATGGTTAAAACGGACCTTAGCTGCCACCCAAACTCTATCTAATCCTTTTCAGTGAAGGAGAATTCACTACTAAGAATGAAGGAAAAAAGTATTTATTAAGCTCTTACTCTATGCTAGGCAATGTGATAAGTGCTGAGGATACAGTTACAAGGATGTAATATCCTTGTATTCCTTATATTTATTTGGACAGTTCTGTTTTTGGTTTTTTGTTGTTTTTTTCCTAACAAACCTAACTGCAAGACTTTATGCTGCCCGATACTTTCCATCAGTCACTAAAGTAACCCCTTTGTCCTTGGCTCTGATTCAGACAGCTGCATGGGCTACAGAGGTGGAGAGGATGAGTGAGCAGCAAAGATGGGAAAAGCGGCAACTCGAACAGTCAACAACCTATTTTCCTAGGAGAAATTATGATTCAGAAAGAAAGAAAGGCGACCAAGATGTTATACAGAGGATTAATCCACCAGTCAAGGACTATACTAATTAACCTCTAACATCCCTTACACCTTTAAAGCTGTATGATTCTATGAGATGAAACTTCCTATGGATTTGAGCCCACTATGGTCAGATTGGTGGGAAAAGAGATAAGAAATCTGAACTAATGTTGTAGTTTATACCTTCCATACCTCACAATGCTGCTCTAGGTAACCTCTAAAAAGAGAAAAGGAAAATTGGCAATTTCTGGTTGAATCTGCCAATTCAGAGGCTGATGGGTTTTGCCTCTAGTTATCAACTCTGTACCCAAACTTCAAACAAACTGAGGGAAAATCAACCTTTAGGTTGGCATATTTGAGCTGAGGATGAGGAAGAACGTCTTAACGTTTCCAGCTTTGCAACAACAGAACAGACTGGCTCCATGGATGTGTTCAAGCAGGGGGAGAAGTCACTATTTCCTCCTGCAGGCTTCTGATCAGAAGACCAACATGTTCAACACAGAGACAGGGAAGCTACATCTTATAACAATGCCTTAGAAGGGGCTTCTACATTGGGAGAGAGGTTACAGTAGATGACTTCTGACAATCCTTTTAGCTCTGCCATTTTATGTTTTATGCTCTAATTATCTACAATCTAATGTTCCCTTCCAACTTTAACATTTTAAGTTCTATTTTCTAGCATTCTGGGTTCTAAAGTCCCTTTCAGTTATAGCTTTATTTGTTCAAAGGTCTTCTCTAGTATTAGCATTCTGTGACTTCCCTGGGCAAATTAGGGACAGATTCTGGGGGACCTCTTCTTTGGCCTTGGGGTAAGAAAAGGATTCAAGGATTCCCCGTCATCTTGCACTGCTGAAAAGTCCATTCTCCTATCAGCTTGGACTAAAGACACATGCACCCCTACAGTGGATTCAACAGAGTTAAAAATCCTTGAATCACGATAACCTGTAGTTACGAATAAATACCTTTTCAGTTTTTGAAGGAGCATAACATTAAATTTTAAAAGAAAATAATATACTCACCCAATTAGTTTTCTGAAATCTCATTAAAAAATTTAGCCTGAGTCAGACTTCTGACCTGAATTTTAATTATCTTTACGCTGGATGGAGATCTTTTTTCCTTGATATCTGCAATGCATCATTAATCTTAAGGCAACTGTTTCTCTGATTTTAAAATGCCTATTTCATCAGAATGACATTTACTGTAAACTAATTTCACCTTCAAAGACATATGACATTTTACAGAAGGGGAAATCCTTAACAGATTACAAAGTCTTATCTTTGTAAATGATTTTGTGTCCACCAAAATCCCCCCACTCCATGTGCTGCCCAGATCATCTTTACGAATATAGTAGCCCCTGTTTCCATTGAGCTTTATAGTTTACAAAGCACTTTCCTCATAACAGCACAATAAGGTAGCTACTCCCAGAATTATCACCCCCATTTAACAGATAAAGAAACTGAGACCCAGAAAGCTAAAGAAATTCCCCCATGATAACACAACTAGTAAACATCATAGCAGGGACCCATTTCTTCTGATTCACTCCAGGGTCTGTGCTCTTTGTACCATATGAGGTTGCCTCTTCATTTGTCAAAAATCAAAGTTCTTAAAATTCAGACCCTACTAAATTCCCTGAGCACTATCAGTATCTTGTGAAGGCAGTATGGTGCAGAGAAAAGAACACTCCCAGAACCGAATGAAAAACAACTACCAATATGGATATCTTTTCCCCAATTCATCAGTATTCTACTACGTAATGTTCTAATCCTGCCACTGCCAATTACTAGCTGAGTGACCTCAGGCAAGTCAATGTGAAGGGACTCAGTTTCCTCATCTGTAAAATGAGGCTGAACTGGTTGACTTCTAATGTTATTTGTTCTAAGGTCCATCCTAGCTCTAACAACCTATGATTCTATCATCCCTTCTAGTTCTAACATTGTTTGACTTCATGATGCCTCAACAGTTTTGTTGTGTTTTGTTTTTAAACAGTGGGGCTTTATACAAGGCAGAAAACAAACATGTGACTACCTTCCTCTCCCATTCCTACCCTGGACTGTCCCCAGGAAAAAAGAATGCCCTGCTCTCAGAACTCATTACTAAACTCTGGACAGATGCTGGCAGGCCTGGAGAAATTTTCACCCAATAATAGCCACATGGAGAAACACGGCAGCCCAGAGCCTGGGTAACAGGCGAATACAGAGTAATAGTTACTAATTACACCTAACTATGGCATTACCGATTCTAACATGTGCTACAAGATGCCACGAATGTATCTGTGGCAGCAGAACACTTCCTCATCTTGTTCATGAAATAATTACAGGGGCTCTCTCCTGCCAAATGAGGCAGTAATTAACCCTAATTGCTCAAAATGCAACTGGCTAATTCTAGGAGATTAATCAAGGGGATTCAATTATTATTGAATGACTTAATATGACAAATTGGTGCATTACCAGAGGAGGCACCATTTGCAGACAATGCAGGAAAACCACCAGAGTAGTCAGTAACCAGGGGACTGCCCAAGAGGTGTCCAAGAGAGTCACATCTTTCCTGAGTTCTGGTTACCTAAATTCCTCCTTGAAAATAAGACTTCTTTTCTACCCTCCTTCAGCCAGCAGTGGGAAGGCAGAGTATGGAAAATAAAGCATGGTGGAAAGGACCCTGAACTAGAAGTCAAGACACTAGAGTGTCAGTCCCAGCTCTGCTGCTAACCAAGTAAATGACCTTGAGCAACTTACACAACCTCTCTCTGGACCTATTTCCTACTCCATGAAATGAGGAGGATGGATTCTATAATACCTTAGGTCTCTCCTGCCTCCAGCATATTTTAAGGTCCCTTCCAGCCCTAACACTCCATGTTCTGTGTTATAATACTCTATATGATAAAATTCTGCCTAGGTCTAACATTCTATGTTCTAAGGTGACTTTCACCTCTAATATTCTATAAGCAATGTTCTAACATTCTTCATGGTCCCTTCTAACTTCTCTGCTCTCAGGTTATATCCAGCTCTTACATTCCACATCCTGAGGAATATGGTCTTATTTCTTAAGACCAAAAGGTCTTAAGAAATTCTCTTATGGCCTTAAGAGATCTTCTTCTTAGTCTTATTATTAAGACATTAATAAGAAGGTCTCTTCCAGATCAAACAGTCTATGATTATCTTATCTTTCAATAGCTTTGTTGTCCAAATCAACATTTCAATTCAACAATTATTAAGAACCTAGGTACATGGACTATGTTAGGTACTGGGGACACAAGATGAGGGAGGAACACAAGGTGGATAGAGTGTGGGAGCTTAGAATCAGGAAGATTCTTCTTCATGAGTTCAAATCTTACCTCAGACACTAGCTATGTGATCCTGGGCAAGTCACTTAACCCTTTTTGCCGCAGTTCCTGATCTGTAAAATGAGCCGGAAAAGGAGATGGCAAACCACTCCAAGAAAATCTTTGCCAAGAAAATCCCAAATAGGGATATGAAGAGTCGGACACAAATGAAAAATGATTCAATAGCAAAGATATTCTGATTTACTTATAAATAAGAAAAATACTTTATGTACTTAGAATAAATATTCATTCATGAAGAGGGAAAGAATACTAATAACTGGAGGGATTCAGGGAAGGCTTCACAGAGGAAGTGATCTCTGAGCTGAGCCTTGAATACTCACCACTTTCTGTATGGTCCACAGATCTATCAAGTGGGGATCTTCATGGAACTGCAAAACAAACTATTACTCTTCTAGCACAGAACAAAGATAAGCACTGTTCTGTGCAGCTGTATTCCAGGTAGAACATGCTCTCCCACTTAATAGATGGAAGGGAGAAAAGGGGATGCAGGGTCAGGGAATGGAGAAGAAAACAAACTAATGAAAAATAAACCTCAAAAAACTGTATTAATACTAATTATTTAAGGAAAATTAAAATCCATGACAGGAGGACCTAGAAAATATGTTCTTAAAATGTGAAGCAGAGACATGATGTGAGCACCTACTGTTGGAAAAATGGCACTGACAGACCTGCTCAACACAGGATTGCCACAAACCTTCAATTTGTTTTAAAAAAAAAACAAACTTCACAATATTTGCAAAGCACAATAAAGCAAAGCATAATAAAATGAGATTTGTCTGTATAGAGTCATGCCATAGAGATGAGGGCAGCTCACATTCAGCACGCCTTCCTCATCTCTGCCTGTTGAAATTCTTTTCCTTCAAGGCTCACAGCAAGCATCATACATACCTCAATCCTTCAGCAGAAAGTGTGCTATCAGCCTTCCTCAGATTTTGCCTGTATCACTCCTTTACCCATCACAATCTACTCTGAATTATAATTATTTATGCCCATGTCCTATTCCACCCCCAGTAGATATAAGTTCCCCAAAAGCAGAGAATGCACTTTTTTCTGTATCCCCAACCCTGAGCACAATGCCTTGCACATAGGAGACACTTAATACACATTTATTGAATTGAATTTATGGCCACCAAGCATTTTCAGTTCCATTAACTCATTGGGTCATCATCATAAAATCTCTGTGTTGTAATAATTCTAGGGCAAATGTTATTACCTCTATTTCTGTGATCTGAGGGGTGGGGGGTGGGGAAGATGGAATTTAAGGCTCAGCAACAGGAGTTGTTTGTGCAAATCCACACATCTAGCTAGTTAAAACAGAGCCATGACCCACACCTATGTCTTCTCCTCTCTATACTCTCCCTCAGTGAGCTCATCACTAAGCAGATGGCTCAAAGCCCATAAATTCAGCCCTGAACTCTCATCTCACACCAGGTCCATTACCTGCCACACACCTTCTCCTGGATACCCCATGAGCATCTCAATTCAACATGTCCTAAACAAAACTATCTTCATCACTCTCCCCCACCCCCCCCCCCAATACCAGCCCCTCTTCCAAATTTCCCTATGTCTCATCACTATCCTCCTACTCAGCCAGGTTTATGACCTTGGGAGTCATCCTTGACTTCCCTCTCCATCACCCCACAAACCCAATCTTGTAGCTTCAACAAAATCTCTCAAATTGCTCCCATCTTTCTATACACAACACCACCACCCTCATCCAGATCCTTATCACCATTCACCTAAACTACTTGAGCTCTCTACTCCCAGTCTTTCTCTTTTCCAATCTGATTCCTTAGGAAACATAATAAACCCTCTAAAGGGGTTATCTTACCCTGACAGTTGTTTTTTTTTTTTTGAGTGAGGGAGAAGGAGTGGTTAATGCAGGTCTTTGGAAGAAACATTAGAGACCACCTCACACAGCCCATCCTGGCAGAAGAATCCTGGCTCTAGTACTGCTGACCAGTGGTCATTCAGCTCCTGAAGGAAGACTTCTATTGAAAGTAACCCATTCTACTTTTGAACAGCTCTAATTGTTACTAAATTTTTCCTTCTACTGAGTTGAAATCTGCTTCTCTGCAGCATCCTCTGATCACTCCTTGTTCTACTCTCTGGGGCAAGCAAAACAAGGCTAATCCCTCACCCACATGACAGATTTTCAAATACTGGAAGGCAGGTATCATGTACCTACTAAGTCTTCTCCAGGCCAAATATCCTAGCTCTGTCAACAAGTCCTCAAAAGGGCAGTTTTCACTCATCTCATCATCCTGGTCTGTGAATCACTAGAGGGTGGGGGCTGGGATAGAGCAAATACTACTTTCTGTTCACTTAAAAGAAAGTGGTTCCCTAAGAAAAGAGGCAATGTGGCTTAGTGAAGAGATGGCTGTAATGATGTGGTTCAGAAAATGTCCTTAAAAAGGAACTCCTTTCCCCCACCAACCCTCCCAGAGAAGTCCATTATACTTACTTGGGGGTCAGGCTGATACTCTGTCCCTGGCATATGGCACAGGCTGCTGGTCTGATCCCCAAGATGATGTGCGTGGCTGTGTTGTCCTTCCATGGTATCATGCCAATCAGTACAAAAAGGGTGGGCTAGAGAGAAAAAAAAATAAGATAAATAAAGCCCCAAGGGGTTAGCAATGTGTTTAAGTTTCTTTTTTCTTAATTAATATTTTTTCATTTAACAACCACTTATTTTCTTGCCCTCTCAGCCCTGTCCCTCC